AGTTCAGTCGTGATGGCGAAGCCACCAGAGAATAAACTGTGCTGAGATCTACTGACAGCGCGTGGTGTAAAGATTTGCTCCTTCATCTGTAAGTGTGTTTAAGGTGCCTACAAGGCAACCTCCTCTACTGGAGTCTACGAGGCAGCAGAGGAACATAGGAAAAGGGAAATAAACTCTGTAATGACACTGCGACATTCAAAACGTAACCAGATGTATCTTTAATTCCAGCCTGACGTTAGAGTCCCAGACCTGCCGTCCTGTCCCCAGCTGAATATCTTGCCTGCATCTAAATTCATCACGTTCCTCCTTTATTTTAGGAAACAAAATCTCTGCTGCATAACCTCAGGTCAGAAGTCCTTCAGGTTTAACTATAAGTTAAATGTTGTAGCTTTAAATTGATTTGAGGGGATATTTTGGGGTGTTTTCCATAAGCAAACAAATTTAAGAAGTCATTTTAAAGGATATTTTGCCCATAATTTATTCAGGAAGTGTTAAAAGGTTTAAAAAGTAAGTTAAAAAGTCAGAACTGAAGATTTGAGCTGAGGCTTAAAAAAATTATGTTTGTTAACTTATTTAATCCCTTGTGATATTGATAATGTTGGCCATAAAATAATATTTTCTTGCTAAGTTAAATAGAAACTTCTAACACCGGGGTATTTATCCAAAAGAGAGATTATCGTCATCAATATTTACTTTCAGATAAGAATTTAATATTTCAATATTTTATCAATAACCAGAATGCAACATATATTTAAACAAATAATAGTATGTGTTACCTTCTATGTGGTTTAAAAAAAAACAAAACTAAGAGATTTACTCTACCTCCCAATAATAATAAGTCCTAATGTTATAATGTGTCAGTGAGATAACCAAACGCACAGCCAAATTGTAAAGGAACGCTTTATTCTTGCCGGAGGGCTGCGGGGGGCACAGTCTCCCCTCAGATCAGCAGCCCCAATTCTTCTTCAGTTTTTTTAAATGTTTTATTTATTTATTTGTTTCTGTTACAGATGTTTCTCATTTTTCCCCCATTGACACCTTCCTCCCCTTCCCCTCCCACCCCATCCTCAGCTTTGTTGTTTATGTTCACTGGTTATGCATGCATGCACGTAAGTTCTGTGGTTTATCTCTTCCTCCACAAACACCTCCTCCTCTGAGGCTTGTCAGTCTGTACCCCACCTCTATTTCTCTGGGTTAATTTTGTTCAGCAGTTTGTTTAGTTCATTATATTCCACAAATAAGTGAGGTCATGTGGTATTTGTCTTTCTCTGCTTGGCTTGTTTCGCTTGGGATAATACTCTTCAGGTCCTCCATGTTGTCTCAAAGGATAAGAGATCTTTCTTTCTTACAGCTGCATAGTACTCCATTGTGTACATGTACCACAGCTTTTTTATCCACTCGTCTATTGATGGACACTTGGGTTGTTTCCAGATCTTAGCTATTGTAAATAATGCTGTTATGAACATAGGGGTACATATATTATTTCTGATTGGTGTTTCACTTTTCTTAGGGTATATTCCTAGAAATGATGATTCAGATAAGGGGTTAATTTCCAAAATATATAGAGTGTTCATACGACTCAACAAAAGGAAGACAAAGAACCCAATTAAAAAATGGGCAGAGGACCTAAATAGACACCTCTCCAAAAAGGACATACAAATGGCCAAGAGACATATGAAGAAATGCTCAACATCACTAGTCATCAGAGAGATGCAAATTAAAACAACAATGAGGTATCACCTCACTCCTGTCAGAATGGCCGCCATCAACTAATCATCAAACAACAAGTGTTGGGGAGGGTGTGGAGAAAAGGGGACTCTAGTGCACTGCTGGTGGGAATGCAGACTGGTGCAGCCACTATGGAGAACACTATGGTGTTACTTCAAAAAGTTAAAAATGGAACTGCCATTTGACCCAGTGAGCCTGGATTCTCCATGCCTGCAGATTCTAAAGACAGAGCCCCACCCTCCTTTCCCCCGCCCTCAGAGGAGGGCACAATAGTGGGTGTGACAGCAACCACAGAAGTCAGAATTAACATTATTCACCGGGCTCAGGAATATCTGCAAATGCCTCCCAACACGTGGGCAACTATAATCTCAGGCAAAATTCCTTTGCTTCCAGGGGTAATTGACCTATTATTGAAAAATACCCAGAAGGTCCATTGATGATAAAAGTGGAGTCATTTAGTCCCCTCAGCCAAGGGGCCCACATACGAATGGAATCTAGTCTCCTTAGCCCGGGGTCCAGGTCAGCAGGGCTCACTCCATCATTTCAAGGCAGGCTAATTAAAGTAAAAAAAAACAAAAACAACGTAGTCTATTGGTTTTCTTAAAAATAAATGTGGACTTCAATTTTTCTTACCAAGAAACAAAATACTGAACCCTGCCCTTCAGACATACTACCCTACTTCAAATGCTTATTTTATTTATAATTCATCATTGCTTGAATGGGAAACAGAGTTGGACTGTAAAAGAAAGGGAAACCCTGGAGCCACTTGGGAAGTCTTAGAGGTCAGTCTGTTGGCCGGGCTCTGGTCAGAACACACCCAGAGTTGCAATGCCTAAATGGGGTCACTTTGCTTTCTTTTGCCATTTTTCGATCAAAACACGTAGCTAGAACTTCAAATAGCACACATCAAGAACCAGATTCTGAAACCGATGTTCATTTCACTTAGCACCTTCCTATTTGTTTTATGGTTGAAAAGGAAATAATAGACTTTTTCCTTGTCATGCAATTTGAATTCAGTACGCAATCATAAATAAGCATAATAGATTATAAAATAATAATGCCAAAGCACATTGGCAGTTAGTGAACAGTTAGGTGGGGATTTTCTCGTGTTGAAAATACTGGCCACAAACCTTCTACATTCCTCAATGATCATTTTGCATTACATTTTGACAAGTATGCATCATTTGTAAGGGGACTTCATAGCTCTCCAAACGTATAAAATATACAGAACAGACAGTATTGATTCAATTAATTAAATATTATTTGTTTGCATGCGTGTTTCTTTTTTAATATCTCTCTGAAAGATTTCATGACTTTCCATCTCTTACACATTTTTATTTTATCCTCACCCAAGGACATTTTTTCCATTTTTTGTTCAGATAGAGTGGAAGGGAGAGAGAGAGAGAGAAAAACATCGACGTGAAAGGGACACATCGAGTGGCTGCCACCCACACGACCCAACCAGGGCCGGGGACAAACTGCAACCGAGGTACATGCCCTTAGCGGGAACCGAACCCGGGTCTCTCTGGACCGTAGGCCGATGCTCTAACCGCTGAGCAAACTGGCCAGGGCAACTTCCGATCTCTGGACCCCAGGGACAGAGGCTGCCCAGGGGGGTCCTGGAGCAGAATCAGACTGTCACCCCCAGAAACAGCACAAAGGCTGTGCTGTGGAAAATAGCGCTAAATGTGCCGCAGGGTCGTGATCCTGGACTGAGGAACTCAGGCTAAAGCCACAAAGGGGTTAAAAAGTTCAATGCTTCTTACTGCAACACGCCCGCTTCTGCACCGTCTGTGCTCAACTTAGACTGAAATGTAAAACAGCAAACAGTTTCCTACACTCCTTTCTTTCCCAAATCTAAGGTGTCTTTAAGCAGGAAAGGGGCAGGGTGACCATTATTCCGGTTATATATTCTATATTCCTAATTAATAATCTGATTATTACTTTTGGGGAGAGAGAGAGAAAAAAAAAACACACATGATCCCAAATGGGTCGGTACCAGCTGCTCAAGGAACGACCTGAAAAGGGCTGGGTTTCCATCGCCAAGGATGGGGGGAGGAGGGTGGTTAGGTGAGGCGTCTCCACCCTCGGACCCCGCACGGACACCAGGGGGGGCGGGCGCTCCAGCTCCGACTCAATGGAAGTGAAGAGAGAGTTAACCCAAGTGAGATCCAACCTGTTTTCGTTCCCCCTCGGGATGTTTGTCAATTCCCTGGGCACGCAGAGAAGCGCGGGGCTGACAAGGGGGGTCGCTGGTCCTTGGTCTAATCACTGGGGGACAAGGGGCGCCCTCGAATGACAGCTGCGGCCGCGACGGCTTTGGAAGGGCCTGGGGTCCAGCTCCGCGACCCCGGTCAGGCTGCGTTTCTCCCTCGTTCCACAAGTGCTTGTTTACTGCTACCCTGCGAACCTCGCTTGCCAAGGAGGGTTTATGGAAACTCAGGACCCCAAGCGCTGTGTTTACTTTAATTTCCGAGGAGACAGAAGGGGGGGGGGGCTTAGCCTCCTCCAGGCTTGGAGTGTCAGCTGTCCCTGTTTTGCAGACACGCTTCAGCGTCCGCACCCCCTCCCCAAACTGCACACCTTTCTGGGTTTAGATTCCAGCTCAGGCAGCGTGGCACGTAACCTTCCTCTTGGATGTGCAAGTTTCGGCGAGAAACGACCAGCCCTGCGCGGCATTCCAGTGCGTTTGGGGGGTGGGAGCGAACGCGGGCTACCCGGGATCGCAGGTAGCGGGGGTGGCTCCCGCCCAGGGGAGCCCCCGGAGCGCGGCGGAGCGCAGCAAGGTGGGGGCGCAGCTGCAGGCCGCTCTCCCCTCACTCCCCAGACAACTTGTGGAGTCCTCGCTCCCCCGCCCCCCGCTCCCCGCCTCCGCCCCCTCGAGCTGACTGGCAGAGATAACTGCCCAACCTTAGCCTCTGGGCCTCCTCCCGGGACCGCCGATTGGCCTACAAGGGCGCCTGCAGAGAGGGGGTGCAAGGGGAGGGATTTCCCTTAAAGCTCGGGGTCGCTCCGGGGACCTGGGAAGGAGGAGTGGAGCTACTTAGTTCTCGCGACCGAGCGGCGAGAGGCCGGGAGGCTCGTCCCCCTCCGGCGCGGTGCAGTGCGGAGCGCGCCGCCCACCTCCCACCCTCCCGGTCCAGCCTGGCGCCGCGGGACCCGCAGGACGCGGAGCCGCGCGCGGAGTTCCTGGCGCGTCCGGAGGAGCCTGCGCGCCCTGCCCTGGCTCCGCGCGCCCTCAGGTGTGCCTGCCCCAGCCCGACCCCTGCAGCATGCGCGAGCCGAGGACCCCCGGGGCCGCCTCCCGTTCGCGATCCAGCCCCGCCCGTTTTCAGCCGACGCCTCGGCCCCCACCACCGACCCAGCTGGAGCTGCTGCTGCTGCTGCTCCTGTCACTGGTAAGCCGCGTCCCGGCACAGCTCGGTGCCCCCGGCCGGGCGCTGCTGTCCTCGGATCTCCCGGGGGTGGCGGGGGTCCCCGCCCAGGAGGCGATCGTAATGGCGAACCGTGGGCTCCGCGTGCCCTTCGGCCGTGAGGTCTGGCTGGATCCACTGCACGACCTGGTGCTGCAAGTGCAGCCAGGGGACCGCTGCGCCGTGACGGTGCTGGCCAACGACGCCCTGGCCCAGCGGCCGGGCCGCCTGCACCCCAAGCGCTTCCCGTGCGACTTCGGCCCCAGGGAGGTGAGCTACTCGCACCTGGGCGCACGCAGCCCGTCGCGAGATCGCGTCCCGCTGCAGCTGCGCTACGACGCGCCGGGAGGGGCGGCGGTGCTCCCTTTGGCGCTGGAGGTGGAGGTGGTCTTCACGCAGCTGGAAGTCGTGACTCGGAACTTGCCCCTCGTCGTGGAGGAGCTGCTGGGGACCAGCAACGCTCTGGACGCGCGGAGCCTGGAGTTCGCCTACCAGTCCGAGACGGAGGAGTGTCGCGTGGGCATCCTGTCCGGCTTGGGCACGCTGCCTCGCTACGGGGAGCTCCTCCACTACCCGCCGCCCCCAGGTGTAGCTCGCGCGAGGGGCGCCCCGGAGCTGCCCCTGCTGGACTGCAAAGCTTTCCAGGAACTGGGCGTGCGCTACCGCCACAGCGCCCCTGGCCGCTCCCCGAACAGAGACTGGGTGCCCCTGGTGGTGGAGCTGCACGCGCGTGGCTCTCCCGTGGGCAGCCCCGCTTTGAAGCGTGAGCACTTCCAGGTGCTGGTGAGGATCCGAGGCGGGGCGGAGAACACCGCTCCCAAGCCCAGTTTCGTGGCGATGATGATGATGGAGGTGGACCAGTTTGTGCTGACCGCCCTGACCCCGGACATGCTGGCCGCCGAGGATGCCGAATCGACCCCCGACTTGTTGGTCTTCAACCTGACCTCTCCCTTCCAGCCCGGCCAGGGCTACCTGGTGAGCACGGATGACCGCAGCCTGCCCCTGTCCTCCTTCACGCAGAAGGACTTGCACCTCCTGAAGATCGCCTACCAGCCGCCCTCCGAGGACTCGGACCAGGAGCGCCTCTTCGAGTTCGAGCTGGAGGTGGTGGACCCCGAAGGAGCAGCCTCGGACCCCTTTGCCTTCATGGTGGTGGTGAAGCCCATGAACACTCTGGCCCCGGTGGTCACCCGCAACACTGGGCTCATTCTGTACGAGGGCCAGTCTCGGCCCCTCAGCGGCCCTGCAGGCAGTGGGCCACAGAACTTGGTCATCAGCGATGAGGACGACCTGGAGGCTGTGCAGCTGGAGGTGGTGGCCGGGCTGCGGCATGGCCACCTGGTCCTTCTGGGTGGCTCCGGGGGCAGCTCGGCCACGAAGACCTTCACGGTGGCTGAGCTCACCGCCGGTCAGGTCGTGTACCATCACGATGACACAGACGGCTCGCTGAGCGACAACTTGGTGCTGCGGATGGTAGACGGAGGACGCAGACACCAGGTGCAGTTCCTGTTCCCCATCACCCTGGTGCCGGTGGATGACCAGCCCCCCGTCCTCAATGCCAACACAGGCCTGACGCTGGCAGAGGGCGAGACCGTGCCGATCCCTCCGCTTGCGCTCAGTGCCACGGACATGGACTCGGACGACTCGCTGCTGCTCTTTGTGCTGGAGTCTCCTTCAGCCTCCGGGCACCTGATCCTCCGCCAGACTCACCCTCCGCGGGAGGGGGAGGGGCTTCTCGGGGGCCCCTGGAGGAAGCAAGGGGCGTTCTATGAGAAAACGGTGACCGAGTGGCGGCAGCAGGACATCACCAGGGGGCGGCTGTTCTACGTGCACTCCGGGCCCCATCACCCCGGGCCGGTGCTGGATCAGTTCGCCTTTCGAGTTCAGGATAACCACGACCCCCCCAATCAGTCTGGGCTACAGAGGTTCGTGATCCGCATCCACCCTGTGGACCGCCTGCCCCCGGAGGTGGGCAGCGGCTGTCCCCTCCGCATGGTGGTGAAGGAGTCCCAGCTCACCCCGCTGAGGAAGAAGTGGCTGCGGTACACGGACCTGGACACGGACGACCGGGAACTGCGGTACACGGTGACGCAGCCGCCCACGGACACAGACACCAACCGCTCTCCGGCCCCACTGGGCACCTTGGTCCTGACTGACGACCCTTCCACCGTGGTGGCCCATTTCACCCAAGCCCAGGTCAACCACCATAAAATCGCTTACAGACCTCCAGATCAGGAACTGGGGGTGGCCGCCCGGGTGGCCCAGTTCCAGTTCCAAGTGGAGGACCGAGCGGGGAACGTAGCTCCAGGCACCTTCACCCTGTATTTGCAGCCGGAGGAAAACCAGCCCCCTGAGATCCTCAACACAGGCTTCTCCACTCAGGAGAGGGGACACCACGTCCTGCGGGAGACGGAGCTGCACGTGAGTGACGTGGACACCGAGGAGGCCCACATCTCTCTCACCCTCACACAGGCGCCCAGACACGGTCACCTGAGGGTTTCCGGACACATCCTGCCTGTGGGAGGGGTCTTCCATCTGGAGGACATCAGACAGGGCCGGGTTTCCTATGACCACAATGGGGATGAGTCCCTGAGCGACAACTGCTCCTTGGAGGTCAGTGACAGACGCCACGTGGTTCCCATCACTCTCCGAGTGAGCGTGCGGCCCGTGGATGAGGAGGTGCCCATGCTGAGCCTTCCTGCCGGTACTCTGGGGTCCTATCTGGACGTTCTAGAAAATGGGGCTACTGAGATCACGGCTAATGTTATCAAGGGGACCGCTGAGGATGCTGAGGATTTGATGTTGACTTTCCTCCTGGAAGACCCGCCCTTGTTTGGAGAAATCCTGGTCCATGGGGCTCCGGCAGAGCAGTTTACCCAAAGGGACATATTGGAGGGCTCTGTGGTCTACGCCCACACAGGTGGAGAGATAGGCCTGTTGCCCAGAGAGGACTCTTTCAACCTGAGTCTGTCAGCTCTGTCCCCGAAGTGGAGAAAAGCTGGCAACACCATCCAAAGAGTCACTGTGTGGGTGACCATCCTTCCTATCGACAGCCAGGCCCCAGAAATCTCGGTGGGTGAACCGTTCACAGTCACGGAAGGTGATAAGAGCACCATAACCTCAGTGCATATCCGCGCTGAGGATGTGGATTCGCTGAACGATGACATCTTGTGCACGGTCGTCATCCAGCCCGCCTCGGGCTACGTGGAGAACATTTCCCCAGCCCCGGGCTCCGAGAAATCGAGAGCAGGGATCGCTGTTAGTGCCTTCACCCTGAAGGATCTCAGGCAGGGTCACGTGAACTACGTTCAGAGTGTCCACAAAGGGGTGGAACCCGTGGAAGACAGGTTCATATTCCGTTGTTCCGACGGCATTAACTTCTCAGAGAGACACATCTTCCCCATCGTCATCATTCCCACCAACGACGAGCAGCCGGAAATATTCCTCAGAGAATTCGTGGTGATGGAGGGCATGAGTCTGGTGGTCGACACGCCCATCCTGAATGCTGCGGATGCTGACGTTCCCCTGGACGACTTGACTTTCACTGTGACCCAGTTCCCTGCGCACGGCCACATCATGAACCAGCTGATCAACGGCACGGTTTTTGTCACGAGCTTTACCTTGGACCAGATCCTAGAGAGCTCCAGCGTCATTTATGAGCACGACGACTCTGAGACGCGGGAAGACAGTTTTGTGATTCAGCTAACAGACGGTAAGCACTCGGTGGAAAAGAGGGTTCTCATTATGGTCATCCCCGTTGACGACGAAACCCCCCGGATGGCCATCAACAATGGGCTAGAGATAGAAATCGGGGAGACCAAGATCATAAACAGTAAAATACTGATGGCCACGGATTTAGATTCTGAAGACAAATCCCTGGTCTACGTTATCCGTTATGGGCCGGAACACGGATTATTACAGAGACGAAAGCCTGGGCATGCCTTGGAAAACATCACACTGGGCTCGAATTTCACCCAGGACGAAGTGGACAGGAGCTTGATTCAGTATGTCCATTCTGGGCAGGAGAGCATTCGGGACCTAATTAAATTCGACGTGACTGATGGGACCAATGCCCTCATAGACTGCTACTTTTACGTGTCTATTGGGAGCGTTGACATTGTCTTCCCTGACGTGGTAAGTAAGGGAGTGTCGCTGAAGGAAGGTGGTAAAGTCACCCTCACCACAGACCTACTGAGCACCAGTGACCTGAACAGCCCCGACGAGAACTTGGCATTCACCATCACCAGCGCGCCGGTGAGAGGGCTCCTGGCATGCACAGACCACCCGGGCGTGCCCATCAGCTCTTTCACTCAACTTCAGCTGGCCGGCAACAAGATCTACTACGTCCACACGGCCGAGGACGAGGCGAAGATGGACAGCTTTGAGTTTCAGGTCACCGACGGGCGCAACCCCGTCTTCAGGACCTTCCGCATCTCCATCAGGGATGTGGACAATAAGAAGCCGGTCGTCACCATCCACCGTCTGGTGCTCAGTGAAGGCGAAAACAAGCTCATCACTCCCTTCGAGCTCACGGTGGAAGACAGGGACACTCCTGACAAGCTCCTAAAATTCACCGTCACCCAAATGCCCATTCACGGCCAGCTCCTCTTTAACAACACCAGGCCTGCCGTGGTTTTTACCAAGCAAGACTTAAACGAAAACCTCATCAGCTACAGGCATGACGGCACCGAGTCGAGTGAAGACAGCTTCTCCTTCACGGTGACCGACGGTTCCCACACGGAGTTCTACGTTTTTCCCGACACGGTGTTTGAGACCAGGAGACCCCAAGTGATGAAGATCCAGGTCTTAGCAGTTGACAACAGTGTCCCCCAAATCGCAGTGAACAAAGGGGTTTCTACCCTGCGAACTCTGGCCACTGGCCACTTGGGATTCATGATCACAAGCAAGATCTTAAAAGCCGAGGACAGAGACAGCCTGCACTTTTCTCTGAGGTTCGTTGTCACGGAGGCCCCCCGGCACGGGTATCTCCTCAACCTGGGCAAAGGCAACCACAGTGTTACTCAGTTCACACAAGGTACGCTTCCCTCTTCTTTGTTTGTAATCAAAGGGCATTTCAGGTCCTCTTTTCCGAGGACAGGGCTGTCGCCAAAGACTTATCGAGTGAGGCCTCCAATTATAGTCTAAGAGAGGGAAGAGCAAGAGAAGGAGGGGAGAATTCAGGGACTTCTTTTCCTGGGAGAACATTCCTTTCTTGCCCTGTGTCCCGTGACAGTGACCTTCCTGAGAGAGACAGCCGGGAGCCAGGCTTCGGTGAATTAAAACTGAATCTCAGCTCTGCTCCCTGTGCCTCACACCTGTCTTCTGGGCACCTGTTCTGTGTGCTGCAGGGAGTTCGTGAGCCAATTTCACATCGTATAGAGGGGTGTGCTTTCCACATTGTGTACTCCGACCATCCGTGTTAGCAAACACCATTCAAGCCCTGGCCGGTTTGGCTCAGTGGTTAGAGCGTCGGCCTGCGGTCCGGAGAGACCCGGGTTCGGTTCCCGCTAAGGGCACGTACCTCGGTTGCAGTTTGTCCCCGGCCCTGGTTGGTCGTGCGGGTGGCAGCCACTCGATGTGTCCCTTTCACGTCGATGTTTCTCTCTCTCTCTCTTCCTCTCTCTCCCTCCCGCGCTACCTGAACAAAAAATAGAAAAATGTCCTCGGGTGAGGATAAAAAAACAACAAAAAACACCATTCAAATAGGTCCTCCAAAGTTATATCACCTTGATTCCTTTTAGAGTATCGTGATAATACGGCTATGGTGGGTCTACACTGTGTAACTAAAAAAGAAGTATTGACACTTTGTAGAGTTTATATAATTTTTAGATTTCATGAGAAACACCTGTCCACAGACAGAAGTAAAGTCCTGTCTAGACTTATAAAAAGCATATGTACAAGGCCTGTCACTGTGATACACACAAAACAAAAGAGTATAAGAAGGCAGCCCTTCTGTCTCCAAAATATGCATCACTTTCATTGGTCAGAGCCAGAGCTATGTTAATACGATTAACAGCATAAGGCGAAAATCGCTGTTTTATTTCAGAACCTCTCTCTGCCCTGTTTCAACGCAGCCTGCGTCTCCATCCACCCGCGTCCTTGAGGCTGAAGCGTTTTCTGATCTGAGCTCCCCTGTGCTGACACAGTCTGAGGCAGGAAGGGGGACCCGTGCAGAGGTGCTGCGGGCTGGGGAGTCCGGCCTGTCCTCCAGGACGGCGGCTTTCACAGCTCCGGGCTCGGGGTTGCTTTCCTGCAGACTCGCCAGGTCCAGGGAAAGCTGATCCCTGCTGTGCGGCTCTGCGGGCAGACTGGGACTTTGACCCGGGCACCCCCTGGGGGTTCTCTCTTCCTGGGGCGCAGCTGGGCCCCGGGACAGCCGGTGTTTACTAAGCGCGGGCGGCACCAATGTGGTGCTCCATGAACTGCTCTCTGTGTTAGGTGCTGGCCCCACACCCAGCCCCTGATTCCTGGCCGACAGCCCGCGTGTGTCCCGGGCCGGGGACAGGAAAGCCCAGCGGGCCACGTGCACGCAGAGCGCAGGACACACGTGGGTGCGGGCTTTCCGAGGACAGCGGCCTGTGGTCGCGGACCGGTTTATTTTCCCCGAAGGCGAAGGATGAAAAGGATACGGGGTGGGCCAAAGGAGGTCTAAGTATCCACTTCTGTTGGTTTTTGGTGGAATTACCAGCCCTCATTCCCTAAAGGATGAATCATAATAAGAGAATGACAGACAACGTAAATAATATGTAATAAATAAATGATACTACAAGAATGAACTTCTGCCCAACCCTACGTATTGGAGGACAGAAAACATTAGGTCAGGTCACTACTGTGACCAGGGAAGAGATTCCCATGTTAGAGGGTTTTTTCTAGAAGGAATTTTCGGATGAAGACAGATGTGCTATCTCCTTACAGGGGTGGCCCTCTCTCTCACTGACTGGGGTTCACCACGGGGGTCTTGCGTGGACATTCGTAGGTGAGGAGTCGTAGTATGTTTACCATAAAAAGCGGGGCTCATTGTGAAGGCTCCTCTTTGACAATAAAGGGTCGCGATCCCTGAGAACCCGGATGGTGACCAGGGGACTGCGGTGCTGCATCGCTGGCGCCCGGAGGAGCAAGCCGGCCGAGCTGGGCGCAGCGGTTATTTACGGGGATTAGCTCAGGGGACAGACACCAGGCAGGGGGACACTCTGCATCCCCGGCGCGTTCCTGCAGGGGAGCAACGTGGGCCCAGGGAGCACTGTGCTGTCCCTTGGCTGCTTTTCCTACTGTTTTATTACGAACGGGTCAGCTAACTGCATGTTGATGATGTCCGATGCATTGAATTGAGTTCATTTAGCACAGGTGGCCAGAGAAAGTTGTTCCTATATTTACTGACTAAAGGATTGATAAGAGACAAAAAAAAACCAAACAAACACAAACACAATTATTTCTAAAGTGTATGAAATTTTATTAATAGAAGACATTAATAAGGGGAAATTATTTAGTTATTTAAGACTTTACCTCTCTGCTCCCTCAATTCTAGGTCTAAATCCCTTCTCTCAAGGAGCTGGATTTTTTTTCCTTGTGGGAGATCATTTATAAATCATTTTCTGAAATTCCCCTGAAGACTTTGAAGCAGCATGTGGTTTCAGGCATGTTAATGAACTTAAAAAATGTTAAAAACCCATGGAATGATTGTGTAGATATGCTGAAGTATATTCAATATTTTTTAAAAATCTAGTTAATTGTTAGATGTTTATTAAAGACGATAACATTTTGGCTACTAAGTTTTTATTTTTCTAATACTTCTATGCATTAAAAGCAAGTTTCATATATATATTTATATAGTTTATGTTTTTTTAATTGTTTTTCGTTATTGATCTTGAGAGAAATAGAGATAGAAACATCGATGAGAGAGAACATCAACTGACTGCCTCCTGCAGGCCCCCCACTGGGGATCAGCCCACAACCTGGGCATGTGCCCTGACCTGGAATCTAACCAGTGACCTCTTGGTGCAGGGTCGATGCTCAACCACCGAGCCACACCAGCGGCGCATATACTTATGTTCTTTTTGAGATACCTGTAGAATAACAGTATTATGATCAAAGTCTTTACTTCTTAGAGATTTCTCATAAGTCCCCTTAAAGAGCTATAAATTATTAACTGTTATAAAGAAAATGAAATGGGTTTGTTCCAACTAGTCAGTATTGCATGCCCTACCCTAGAGGGAAATTTGACACCTGAGAGTCATATAAATGTACTCATGTTCTCTTAAAAAAGCCCTTAAAAATCAGCTAAGAAATTAGTTGGATTAGTGTTTGAGTTCAATAAAACTATCTCTTACGTACTGTCATTTAAAAAAAAACATGACTACAGAGATTGAGGGTACTAAACAGTTTTCTTCCCATGATGGAACTTAATAGATTTCCTTGTAAAATGAAAGAGGGCCCTGGCCAGTTGGGCTCAGCTGTTGAGCATCGGCCTGCAGACCGGAGAGTCCCGGGTTCGGTTCCTGCTAGGGGCACGTGCCACACACACACAAAAAAAGAAATGAAAGAGGGAGTGGGGGGTTTGGAAAAGGCTGTCCCCCACATGACCCGAGGATGTTGTCCTTACGCTGAGGGTGTGCAGTCAGAGGGTAGTTACGTTCATTTCTAACCATTTTTTTTTTTTTTATCCTCACCCGAGGACATTTTTTGTTCAGATAGAGAGGGAGGGAGAGAAAGGAAGAGAGAGAGAGAGAAACATCGACGTGAAAGGGACACATCGAGTGGCTGCCACCCGCACGACCAACCAGGGCCGGGGACAAACTGCAACCGAGGTACGTGCCCTTAGCGGGAACCGAACCCGGGTCTCTCTGGACCGCAGGCCGACGCTCTAACCGCTGAGCCAACCCGGCCAGGGCAGTTACGTTCATTTCTGACTGATAAGTTGCAGGTTGTGAAAGCTGAGTGTTGTAAGAGGAACAGGTGAGGGGCTGTGCGGGGGCTTCTGTTCCCGTCCCTTAGGAACATCATGCGCAGAAAGGAAGACGTACCTGTGGTTCTCTGGACCTCTGGGTACCTTTTACTTTCAGTTAAGAAATGTTTTAGCCTTGACTGAGTCTTAGACCCCAAGCAAGGGGCTGTGAGACGGGACAAAAAAATCCCAGGAGTTTTCCGTCTTCCAGGCGAGGGAGCCACGCAGAAAGTCAGGAATGACACAGGACAGACGTCGGGGGACTTACAGCAGGGTTAGAAATGAAATGCCAGGGAGGAACAATGTGTTTCAAACTCCCTTCACCTCCGAGTACCTCTTAGTACTATTAACTATTACATCAGATGGTTCCCTGCTCAGATGTCTGGTTGTACGTAAGTCACCTTTCAAAACTGTGTGAGCCGCCCGGCCGGTGTGGCTCAGTGGTTGAGCGTCCACCCTGCACCCAGAGGTTGCTGGTTCGATTCCCGGTCAGGGCACATGCCCAGGTTGTGGGGGGCATGCAGGAGGCAGCCAATCGATGTTTCTATCTCTCTCTCCCTCTCCCTCTAAAATCAATAAAGAAAAAATATTAAAAACACAAAATACACTGTGTAAGTCGAGGAAGAACACACGTTTCACATCTAGAACGTGGAGCCTTAGAAACTCATGGAGTAATTTTTTTGATTCTAATACGTCATATGACATTAGACTATTATTTTAAAAGTGTCTTCTTATGTATAATGCCTGTAAATTTCATAGCATGAACTTAGTGGAGCTCTTTTTAAAAATGGAGTTGATAGGGGTCACGGTAGTTAACAGAATGACACACGTTTGGGGGCACATCCTCTGCACCACCCCAAGGCAGGTCTCCGTCCACCGCCATTCACCCCGCATCCCCCCACCTCTCCATACCCCACTCCTCTCTCAGTCACCACACTGTTGTTCTGTCCATGAGTTCTTTGCATTTTTTTCCTTTTTGCTCAATCTCTCCACCCTCCTGACCCAACCGCCGCCCTGACATCTGTCAGTCTGCTCTCTGTCTGTGAGTCCATCCCCATGTTGCTTGTTAGTTCGTTTTGTTCATTAGATCCACGCGCGAGTGAAATCATGTGGTCCTTGTCTTTCTCTGACTGGCTTATTTCATTCAACATGGTCCTCTCCAGTTCCATCCATGTGTTCTCAAGAATAAATTTCCTTTTCTTTCCCGGCCGCGTCGTGTTCCGTGTGTGCATGTGCCACAGCCTGTGTACCCACTCATCTCCTGAGCGAGACTCGGGGTGCTCCCAGGCTTGGCTACTGGGAATCGCTGCAATGAACACAGTGGTGCATGTATTCTTTAAAATTGGTCCTTTGGGTTTCTTCAGATAAAGTCCCAGAAGTGGAACTGCTGGGTCATACGGCAGCCCTATTTTTAAGTTTTGGAGGCAACCCCACACTGTTCTCCACGGTGGCTGCACCAGTCTGCATTCCCACCAACAGTTCCCCTTTCTCCACACCCTCGCCAACACGTGTTGGTTGTTTGTTTGTTGATGGCGGCCTTTCTGACAGGTGTGAGGTGATGTATCTCATTATGGTTTGAATTTGCATCTCTCTGATGATTAGTAGTATTGAGCATCTTTTAACAGTCAAAGGTCATCTGTATGTCCTCTGGAGAAGTGTCTATTCAGGTCCTTTGCCCATTTTTGTAATTGGGGTGTTTGATTTTTGGGTGTGTCGCATTTCATAAGTTCTTTATAAAATTTGGATATTAACTTCTATCAGATGTGTTGGTGAACGTGTTTTCCCATTCAGTGGTTTGTTTTTTCATTTTGTTGATGGTTTCTTTTGCTGTGCAAAAAAAATTTAGTTTGAAGGAATCCCATTTGCTTATTTTTGTGGTTGTTGTTTGCCTCGCCCGATAGATAAATTAGAAAAAATACGGCTATGAGAAATGTTCGAGATGGCCCTTTAATGTTTCTTGTAATACTGCTTTGGTGGTGGCAGACTCCTCCTTTAACTTTGTCTTGTCAGGGAAGCTCTTTATTTCTCCTTCAATTTTAAATGATAACCTTTCTGGGTAAAGTAACCTTGGTTTCTTTGAATATTTCATGTCAATTCCTTCTGGCCTGAAATGTTTCTGTTGAGAAATCAGCTGACGCTCTGTGGAAGTTCTCTTGTAGGTAACTAACAGCCTTTCTCCTGCAGCTTTTGAAATTATCTCTTTATCTTTTATCTTTGATATTTTAATTATGATGTGACTTGCTGTGAGCCTTTTTGGGTCCTTCTTGTTTGAGACTGGCCGCACTACCTGGACTCTTGCCTTCATAAGGTTAGGGAAGTTTTCAGTCATTATTTCTTCAAATGTTCTTGATTTCTTATTCTCTTTCTTCTCCTTCTGGTACTCCTATGATGTGGATGTTATTATGCTTCATGTTGTCCCAAAGGTTCCTTAAACGATTCTTTAATTTTTTTTTCTTTTTGCTGCTTTGATTGGGCATTTATTCTACCTTATCTTCCAAATCGCTGATTCTCTCCTCTGCTTCATCCAACCTACTGTTTATTCTTTCAACATTATTCATTTCAAATATTGTATTCTTCATTTTCTGACAGGTCCTTTTTTTCCGGTTTCTATGTCCTTTTCATGCTGCTGAACATTTTTATAACCATTACTTTGAACTCTATATCTGATAAATTGCTTGCCGCCATTTCATTTAGCTCTTTTTCTGGAGATTTCTTTCATTTGGGACCTTTTTTTTTTTTTCCCATTTTGGTCGCCTATTTGTGAAGCTGGCACTGGGTGTGTTGGTTCTGGACCTCTCGGAAGACACTCTGGTGCAGGACAATATCAGTCACTGCCTGCGACTGACCCTGGGAAACCTGTTTGAGCTGCCAGCAGCAGTTCACAGTTTGTGGTTGCCTCTGCTGTGCCTGCTGCACCTGGAAAGGACCAGGATGTGCACCAAGGCTGGCTTTTACCAGCCCCAGGCCCAGGGCCAGGCCAGCAGAAGTCCCAGGGCACCCGTCCATCCACCTCTTCGTCCTCTGCCTGCAGTGTGTCTGTTAGGCTCAGTCATGGACAGCGCCTCTGGCTGTTCTCCTCAGCAGGGCTGGGCTCCACAGGGTGGGGCAGAGGGAGTTCAGAGGGTGGGGCTGTTGCTTCCCCCCAGGCTCATACCACGTGGAGTGGAGTGCCCCGCTTACAGAGATGGTGTCTGCGTCATGGAGAATGTCTCTGCACAGTGATCTTGGCAGCTGTCCCTTCAGCTCCCTCCCCAGAGCCACACACCCTAGACCCTCCCCACCCACCTCTGGTTCTCTCTGCTCTCCGTCTGCCAGAGCCCAGGGGAGAGGCTGCAAACAAACATCTGTGCATTGGCCCTTTAAGAGGGTCCCCGTGTCTCCAGCCTCCTCCCCCTGGTGGACAGAAACTCAGTGCTTTTCACAGCTAGATGTTCGTAGCTCAGTGGCTCTGGGCTGGGGACCCCAGCTTAGGGCTTGGAACCCACGTTCTTTGGGGGAACTTCCGCAGCTGAGATGTCCCTTCAGAACGTCAGCTGCTACCCACGGGAGCAGGGCCAGACTCTTCCTTTACCACCAGTCTCGACGTGGCTGCTTCTGTGACTCCTTGGTTATGAGTCTCCTCTTCAGCTAGGGTACAATTGGTTCTTCAAGATGATCGTTCTATAACGTAGATGTAATTGCAGTTGGTCCTGGTGGGAGGTGGGTGTAGCTCCCACCGTCTTGGATCCCAATGTTAGTCGAGTTCTGAAGAGATGGAAAAGCCATAGAGCACATGTGAGACAAATAAATCCTACACATTGTACATAGCCGTGGAAACAACCACTTGCCGCTTGACTTAGATCAATGAACAGTTTATTTTGAGTATCTCAGAACAGAGTATTTGTTTCATTATGTTTTCTAGGTTGCATCATTAGCGACAGGAAATGAAAAAACAGATGCATAGTTTTAAGAATTGTATCTTAGTCAATATTAAAACAAATTTTGCCAGAGAATTGGATAGCTGAAGTAGGAGGCATTTAGAAAGAGCATTTCTAAGACAGAATAATTTTTTTCTTATGAATAAAGGTTTCAGATTTTAGATGTGTTTGTTTGTTTGTTTGTTTTCCTCTGGTCTCTCTGACATTGGTTCATGATGGTTATTTTAATCTGGGATCTTTTTATAATTCTGATTTTTTTTTCCTGTCAAAATTTAGGTGGTTTAAAACAGGCTGCTAAACTCCACGTGGGGGGAACGTTAGCTTGAGGGAGGGCAGGGTAGCCTCTTCCCTCTTTGGACCAGTCCTACAAGGAGACCCGGGGGCTGGCCTCAGCAGTGCCAGGAAGTCTGCCACGCTTCAAAATATCTCTCTTCCCACCTGTCATGGAGCCTGACGTCCCATATTTAGACAGTGACGCCTTTGGTTCATGCAGACGCCACTGGGAAGGGCAACACCTTGCTATTATTATAACTAATTCTTCCATTCTGTAAAAGGGATCAGATTTCCACGGGACAGCTGAAATCCTGGGCTTAGAGATGTGAGAAATAAGATAGTACTGTTTCCCTTAGGAGAAGAGGGAATGGAAAAGGTTACAGCAATAGTATTTCATAAGTCCCCACGTGCGCCCACGTATTAATCACCGTGTTCTTTCATTTTCCAGCGGACATCGATGACATGAAAATATGCTATGTTTTAAGAGAAGGGGCAAATGCTACCAGTGACGTGTTTCATTTTACGGTGGAAGACGGTGGTAAGTAGTTCGCTCTCCTGTTAGTAGGAACAAGGAGAGTGGTTTGCGTGGGGAGCTCCGTGGTATTACGAGGAGTCTGTACCGGGTGCTGTTGTAGGCGCACCTGACTTCATGCTACGTGACGTGGGTGTCTGCGTGGGAAACCCTGCGTTCTCGATCTGTTACAGTGCTCCTCCGGATTCCTTTCAGACAAGTGTTCTAATGGTGTGATTTCTGTTTGACGGTTTGTAAAGCGCTAACAAGCAGGATCTCCATGAATAGGAGTCCCCTGTCCAGGGGTTCAGAGTCTGCACTGTACGGGGCTGCCTGCTGGAGGTGACAAGCGGGTGTTGGGCTTCAGGCCCCTCCGCTGGCCAGCGGGGTGCCTCCCGGGGTGCCTCCCGGGCCTTCTCTGCTCGTGTACACATTGGAGCAAGTGGTCCTTTCCCAGTTTGCACGAGGGTGCGGTGTGGCTGATGCTGATGGGACTGTGTTGTCCTCACCAAGAAACAATGCTAAATAAACGTGTTCAAGTCTCACCAATCTCGGGATAGGTAACGCCTTTCTTACTTGGGTGCTTTGTGACTCAGCCTAGATAAAACGTCCCTTGGTGATGTCTGAGGAATGCTGCAGAGACCAGGACCTGACCTGCAGCTCCAGCCTCCTGTTCCGTGGGACCGGCAGCTGCCTGCCCTCCAGGGCTCTGGGTGCGCTCAGATCCTTTCGCTCTCCTCCTGCCTGTGGACTGAGACAGGAGGTCTGCCTCCGGTCCGTAGGAGGACGTCTGTGTTCTCACAGCCCTAAGGAGAAGGCAAGGAACCTCGGGAAGAGTGTGTGTTGTGGGGACACGTGGAGCGAGGGAGTAAGAGCGGGGAGAGGGGGGAAGCAACAATTCTGCTGGAGTCCTCCGCTTCCCTGTGCGGTTTGTAAAATGGCACGTACTGTGTCCTCTCTCTCAGACGGTTACGTGTTTATCAACGTCACATGATTTGGGAGAGTAAATGGCATCTGTGTAAAATATCTCTGGACGTAGCATGACCACAGCTCTGAAGAAGGGCACGTGCTGGGTGTGTCCAGAGAGGGAAGAGGGGGGTTAACTTGGCTTCGACTATTCCGTTTCTACTGCAAGTCAGATGCTTAATTAACTTGATGCCTCTATTTAGTCTTTTAAATTTTTTTTCTTTATTGTTTAGAGAGAGGGGAAAGGAGAGGGAGAAAGAGAAACATCGATGAGAGAGAACATCAACTGGCCGCCTCCTGCACGCCCCCCACTGGGGATCAGGCCCACAGCCTGGGCATGTGCCCTGACCGGGAATCGAACCCATGGCCTCTCGGTGCAGGGTCAACGCTCAACCACTGAGCCACACCGGCCGGGCAAGGCCTTTATTTTTATAGTAGCCAAATCATATTTTAGTATTATATTTGTTGATAAGTGCATGTTAGAATAAAAACAAATTCTAGGAAGGGAATCAAATTATAAAAGAATAATCTGCTGTTCAAATGAAGAGTTCTACTAAGTAAACTTCACTGTGAGACCCTAAAACAGCGATTCTCAACCTGTGTGTCGCAACCCCTTTGGGGGTCAAATGACCCTTCCACGGGGTCACCAAAGACATAACAGTAGCAAAATTAAAGTTATCAAGTAGCAACGAAAATAATGTTATGGTTGGGGGTCAGCACAACATGAGGAACTGCATTAAAGGGTCACAGAATTGGGAAGGTTGAGAAACCATGGCCCTAGAAGAATCTAAATCTCTATAACATATTGACATTAAAAACTAAATTATTAGTTCAAGACACTATGTTTATTTGTAATAGTGACTGAATAAAACTCAATCGCAAAAGTGTGATTTTCTCTAAAATTGCACAAAAGTAGTTTGAAATTCATTGGCTAAGATTCCAAGACATCCCCTATATTTATTTATATATTTTGATCTTTCCCTTCCATTATATATACACGGTGGAGTAAAAGTAGGTTTACAGTTGTTCACATGGAGAACGATGCAATAATTAATCAATAATAATGTAAGAATAAACTTTCACACATAACTGCACACCTACTTTTGCCGTATCCTGCGTGTATATACACACTATTATTCTGTTCAGGTTTTTTTTTCTTTAGCTAGATGGAATGGTAGCAGTTACCTTAAAATTTGAGTCTGTACTCAGTCTTTAATAAGAATATTAATTTAAGAATGCTTAGCAGAAGAGACTGGCTTTATTTTTGGATTTGCTGCAATGTGGCCGAGCCTGTAAAGATTAGGTTCACGGTCCTGACCAGTTTGGCTCAGCGGTTAGAGCGTCGGCCTGCGGTCCGGAGAGACCCGGGTTCGGTTCCCGCTAAGGGCACGTACTTCGGTTGCAATTTGTCCCCGGCCCTGGTTGGTCGTGCAGGTGGCAGCCACTCGATGTGTCCCTTCACGTCAATGTTTCTCTCTCTCTCCCTTCCTCTCTCTCCCTCCCGCTCTATCTGTACAAAAAATGGAAAAATATCCTCGGGTGAGGATAAAAAAAAAAAAAAAAGATTAGGTTCACGGAAACAATCATGAGATCGTGTCAGGAGCTTTTTCCAGAGTTGGGTTTACCTTCCTTCTCCTCACCGACACAGCATTGCTCACAAGTTGATGGTATTTTTGACACTTCTCACAGATATGTGTGTCTCAGGAACTATGGCAGGCACTTACCTCCTACGAATAAGTATTCTGGTCTTGCATCCGGAGAGATCTAGCTTTCGGAGAAGCCTGGTGACTTCTTCAAATCCACCCCGGAAGGAACAGCACTTTCTAAAGGGTTCTTCCTCTTCCCCTGACGGACTGTTTGAACAGTGGGCTCCAGAACTCAGCTGTATTTATTTATGATCATCTACTTTGTACAATGATAACATATTCATAGACCATGCTTATGAAATTCTTTCTATACTTTGTATCTGGGGAGCAAGTCAAGGTACCATGGCATAAACTTACGAACTATCTACTTAAAATTCTATTTTCAATTCTCTAAATGTATCACTTCAATTCAACAAGATTGATTTTTAGGACAATAATTATACAAAGAAGTTACTGGGACAAATATTCTCAAATAAGCTTAAAGATAGACTTTCGCTTTTAGGAGTTAGAAGGAGAGAAAAGATTGAGGATAACAGAGCGAAACATCTTTTCTTTCAGATTTGACAATATTATTTTAAGAACCTGGCTATCCATAGACTTCTTCCTTTGTGCAGAAATGGATTAGGTCCACCCGTCACTAATGGAGTGATGATTAGGAGAGAGTTATTACTTTTTGTTTTTGGAGAGCTTTGGGGTAATGGCCAAATGACAGGTCTAAAGAGCACACTCTCTGAAGAACAGACAATGTCAAGATTCTCACATCAGGCAGTTTAGATGAATACAGGTTGGTTAATATAGCACATGTACACACAAACACCCACAGATTCTTACATCTTAGGGTTCTTTCAGTTAGGTTTTAAATCTTAGATTTATTATTATTCATCCGATTTTGCCTTCATAGCATCTCTGAGAGCTTGTTTAAAAAAATCAAACAAAATAAAAACTAAAAAAAGATATTATTCCTATTTGGCAGATGAGAAAGTTGAGTCCCAGAAATAAATAACTGATCGAAATCAAATTGCATACCCAGGCAACTAGAGGCTAATTTAAATCCCAGATATCTTTCCTCAAACAATAACTTCAAACCTGGCTGGTGGGGCTCAGTGGTTGAGCGTCAACCCTGCACCAAGAGGTCGCCGGTTCGATTCCTGCTCAGGGCACATGCATGGGTTGTGGGCCTGATCCCCAGCGGGGGGCGTGCAGGAGGCGGCCAGTCGATGTTCTCTCTCATCGATGTTTCTCTCTCTCTCTTCCACCCCCTTCCTCTTTCTCTCTAAAAAATCAATAAAAAGAAAATAACTCCCACACTTATTTGGGACAGGTGTGGGGCAGGGAGCGGAGGGCGGTGACTTGAGGTTCCCGGGATCAGACCCAGTTTTCAGGGAGCACCACAGACGAGAGTGAAGGAGGGCAGGTCAGCTGACGGAGGAGAAGCTCCATGCCCGCAGGATGTCGGGCTTTGTTTCAACACTTCAAGGTCGTTGTGTCCTAGAACACATAGTACCCTTTCCTGGCATGATACTAATTTGTTCTAAACTGCATCTCCAAAACGATGTATTCCCTTTAAAGTTAAAGTAAACACAAACCAAACCTCAAGGTACCATTTTATACTTATCTTGTCAATTAAATTACAACAAAAACACTTTTTTAAAAAGTCACTTATGACAGGAGTAGGATGAAACAGGTACGCGTGGATACTGTGTGCAGCTGTAACCCGGGAAATGCCTTCGGAGGAAAATGCGTGTATCGTCGGCGAGATGCAGCTGCAGTGTTCCACCTGGGACCAGCTCAACAGAAGCAAAAACCTACATCACCGTGTGAAAAAGAAATCTAGAAATTAAATACCCAAGAAAAATAGAAAAGAAACTTTTTAGTTATGGCATCAACGTAACAAAACGTGCCACTCTTACGATACATAATTATAAAGTCTGTCCCTGAGTAATCTTCCAGGGATCACTCAGTGAGGAATGTGTTTATTGGAAAGTTAGTGAAGAAATGAAAGTATTATATACAAATACCTGCCGCCCGGCCGGTGTGGCTCCGTGGTTTCAAACGTGACGGAGGTTGTCGTTCAATCCCAGACAGAGAGGCAGCTGTCTGGAGGGATGTTCACGGTTCGACGTTAAGGACGCTGTGACAGGGACACAGAGGGAGAAATGTAGACAGCGAGCAGCGTGAGTGACGGCTCTGGGCTCCGTGTGTTCAGGTGACCAGGGAGCACCCGCAGCCGGGAGCTCAGTTATCCACCAGAGAGGAGGACACGGTGCTGGGTGACCATCCCTGAGGTACCTGGTGCAGACCCACAGCAGTAATTTAGATGTTGTCCTAAGGGAAAGGGACCTCCCCCCAAGTCATTGTAACGCAGAAGAGTAACACGGTCCAGTGCGTGTTTGAGGGTGATTCCTGCACCCACAG